CCCTGGGGGGCGCAGCTGGGCACCAGGAAGTGGTGGTGCTGCCCCACCAAGGCAGGCCTGTTCACAGCCTCCGTCCAGCCCTCGCCGCCTGAGGCCGTTCTGGCTCCCCCTCACAGAGGAGGAAGGGGAAACTCAGGCTGCAGGAGCCCCGGGAACACCAGGCCCAGCGCAGATTCTCCCCACACGGACCATCTGGGTGTGGAGAGCGGCCACAGCTTTGGGCAGGCTCAAGCCTGGGCTAATGAGAGGGCAGCTCCTCTCGTGGCGAAGCCACGTGCAAGTCCCAGCACAGTCAGCCAAAGGCTGTGCTTGTGAGCTTGCCCTTAGGGTCCGAACCTGTGGCCCCACGTGGCTGAGTGACGGGGCTGCGGGAGGAGCAGCCGGTAAACAAGCTGGATCAGGTGCGTGTGGTGGAGTGGATTGGAAGCCCGAGAGAACGCTGTGACCAGGCCCTTCCTCTGCCCGTGGGATCTGCTGTAAAATGGAGACTTGGCCTGCGGGCTGTGGCGCTGTCTCTCCGTCAGAGAGCGGGGTCCCACCGAGCCCCAGCTTCCTTCTCGTCTGTCTTTTCTCCGTCCTTCACCGCCCTCTCAGGCTCACCGTGGCCGTGGCGGTGCGACACGTTCGGGGCGCTGTTCGTGTCTGCAGGCATCTGGGATGCAGCGAGCGGCTCTGTGTCTGAGCCCAGAGCCTCGCCCGCAGCCCGTGGGGGGCCAGGGCCCAGCACACACGGTGGCGGGAGGCTGGGGTGGGTTTCAGCTGGGCCGAGGGGGAGAGGTTCATGAAGGGGGATCCCGCTGGCGGAGAACCTCCCGGGAGCCCGCGTGGCAGGAGTGGGTGCCCGGCCCACGCCCCGGGGAGGCTCTGCAGGAAGCCTGGGGGCCGGTGCTGGGCGGGTGCGAGGCTCGTGAGCTGCTCCTGGGGCCTTGGGCCTGGAGCTGGGACAGGCCGTGGCCTGAAGGGCGCCTTCCGGGACCATGGCGTGGAGGCGGGGTTCTGGTCGGACTGGGCGCCAGGCCTCAGGTCATGCCGAGCAGCCTGGATGGCAGCCTCCCGGGCGGACGGGCCCCGGGCTCACGCGGGATGGCGCTCCTGCCGGGACGGGCCTGGGCGGTGGGACTTCCCCAGGATGCCCCGCGCGCGTGGCCGGCTGGAGCCGGCGGCCTGGGAGAGGGTGCGGGTGCCCAGACAGGGGCCCCCAGAGCTGTGCCGAGACCCTGTTCCTGTTGCCCACCTGCGGGGCCTTCCTGGGGCGACCCATCACCTTGGACGCAGGCACCGAGCAGGGGGGGTGGGAGGAGAGGCAGCCACGGAGCAGGCGCCCGTGAACGTGCCTCTGCAGGGTGGCTGGGCGTGGGGGGGCGGGACTTCCTCCTGGCAGCCACTTCCTGTCCCCCCGCCCCCTCTGCTGTGTGCACCTAGAACCCGTGACCTGGGGGAACCTCGAGTCTCCGTTGCCAAATCAGGAGCTCACGGGGCTCCGAGCAGAGCTTCTCTTCTGCTCTGGCTGTCGCTGCCCTCGCTCCCGAGGGTGAAAGCGCTTCACAGACGCCGGGCCACCCAGCACCGGCCACCCGGCGGCCATGGCGCCGGCCAGGGCAGCGGGGGAGGGGGCGGGGAGCGGCCCCGCCTGGCCCTCGGCCCGGCTTCCTGTGAGAGTCCCGCCTGCAGGCCAGGGTCAGGTTTGTCTAAGTGAGAGGAGAGAGGCCACATCCTAGTTCTCTCTCTGAGGTAGGCAGAGAGAAACCACCCAGGAAGCTCCCAGCGGAGAGACGGGGGGACCTTCCAGGCCGTGGCGCTCGGGCCGGCTCTCCTGTCTGCGGTCGGCGTCTGCGGGAGAAAACCCTGCGTGGCCACAGCCCGGGCCGGCAGCTCCCGGCTCAGCTGCGGAGGCTGCAGGAAGCAGAGGCCAGGCTGGCGTTAGGGTGGCGTCATTGTACCCCAAATCTGTAGCAGAGATCGGCCAATTAGATTTATTTATTTAAAAAATATATATGTTGATTTTTTTACAGGGGGGAAGGGAGAGGGATAGAGAGTTAGAAACATCGCTGAGAGAGAATCATCCATCAGCTGCCTCCTGCACACCTCCCACTGGGGATGTGCCCACAACCAAGGTACATGCCCCTGACCGGAATCAAACCCGGGACCTTTCAGTCCGCAGGCCGACGCTCTGTCCACTGAGCCAAACCGGTTTTGGGTAATTAGATTTATTAGTCCTCATTGAGGACGTGGGGAAGGGGGTGGGGAGGGAGGAGAGAAACCTCAATGATGAGAGAGAAAAATAGCAATCTCGGCCTCCTGCACACCCCTCTGGGGGAGCGAGCCCTCACCCTGACCTGCCCTGAGCGGGAATCGACCGGCGACCTCGGGTGCACAGCACCCCGACGCCCGACCCGCTCCGGCCGGCCGTCACATTGGACTGAAAAGGGGGAGAGTTCCTGGAGGCAGTTGGAGCAGCCCCACCTGTTAGTCTACATCCCTGACTGGCTGTGATAGGGGGTGTATCCTATCATTTTAATTTTAAAAAAGGGATGGAAGAGCCAGAGCGAGGAGTAGAGGTGGGCTCCCGCCTGGCCCCCATTTCCCAAATTAATGCTTTTCTAGTCTCTCTTTGTTTGTGTTCGGCCTTCTCCAGAACCCGAACCCTGAACCGGAACCCTGAACCAGGCGGAACGTGAAAGGGGCTCCCACAACAACCCGGGCCTGTGCCTTGACCGGGAATCGAACCCTGACCTCCTGGTTCGTAGGTCAATGCTCAACCCCTGAGCCAGGCCGGCCGGGCTCCAGACATCCCTGAGGCACACAGGCCTCCTGCAGCCTTCCCCCTGGGGAGCTGGGCTTCTGGGCAGCCTGAGCTTCCAGGAGCGGCTGGCCCGGCCACTGCCAGGGCGTGCTGGGCACGGGGCAGCCGGGGCTGGGCGTGGTGTGCACCCTGGAGGGCAGTGTGGGTGGCCTCCCGGGGATGGAGTCAGGACAGGACACACACTGCCCAGTGTGGACACACACTGCCCATTCCTCCGGGCGTGCCACTGGAGGGCGTGCCCCCGCCCGGGCATGGAGGAGGCGGCTTGGGTGTTCCCTGCGGCTGAGTTTTGAGTCAACAAGGTTTCAAGGTGACCGGGCTTTGCAGCCGGGGAGCAGGTGCCTGAGGGCTGGTGGGGTGGGGCCCGGTGGCCGGGGCTGACTCTGTACCGGCTGAACCTCCCAGCGTCTCGCCTGCTGCAGAGCAGGGACCCAGTGCATCCAGAGAGCCCAGGGTGGCCCTGGTGCCCTCAGCCCGCCTCACTGGGCAGGTCGGGGGGTGGGGGGACTCGTCTGAAGGCCTGGTGCCCCTTCCAGGCCAACCCGTGTCTGTGTCGCCTGCAGAAGTTGGGGGGACCGCACGGGTGGCGATGGGACTCCTGCTATCAATCACACCGCCAGCCTCAGCCCAAAGGGCGGCGATGGTCACGGGAACACGGGCCCTCACGCCGGCTCCCGCAGGCTGCCCCGGAGCGGAGCTGGGATGGTGGGAGCACGGGCGCCAACAGGACAGGAAGCCCCTGCTGCTCGGATGGCCCTGCCTGACCTCATGGCACACGGCCAGCGCCCGGGCCCTGCGCATGCGGCGGCTGGAGCTGCGGCCCCCACTTGCCGGGGCTTCTCAGACGCAGCTCTGCCCCGGCTGCCAGGTCCCGCCGTACACCTCACCGTGGTCCCTGGGCGGGCCTGCGGGCGGCGTGCACCCGCTGTCAGCCTGTGTCCCAGCCCCGTGCTCCGCTGGGCGCAGGGGCCCAGCACCCTGGGTGGTGGTCAGGCTGTGCGCCGCTCAGGCAGGTCCGGCCGCCTCCTCCCGCAGGCCAGCCCCGCACGGAGGCGGCAGTGGGTGGGGAAACGGGGTTCTTTGTTAACTCGGGGAGCAAAGATGACGGGCTCTACTTGCAGGAAGTCATGGGCTCGATGCAAAGTGAAAACTCGGGGCCCTTTTAGAAGCTTCTGGATTTCAAGATGGCAGAGTAGGGAACTCACCACGCCGGGCCCTGCTGAGCCGGCCCACGAGGGCAGCCCTGTGGACCCGGAGCTTGGCGCCGAGCCTCTCGCTGTGCCAGGCAGAGGAGGCAGGAGCCTGGGGCTGAAGGGCTGCCAAGGCCCTCCCCACGGCCAGCATCTCAGGCGGGGCCGGTTCCCATGGAAACCAGCTGGCTGCTGGCTGGTGTCACCCAGCCCCAGGCTGGGCATCTCTCAGCCCTCCGCCTCCGCCCCCCTGATCGGGTCTGGGCCGGTGGGCGGGGTGGGCATGGTGCCCCTTTGTCAGCAGGCAGCTGGTGCGTTTCCATTTGCGTCAGTGGCTTCGCTACGGAATGCTCTGCCCGTGGCTCCAGAGCCTCCCGTCTGAAGGGCCTGCGTGAGCGGGTGCCGGCCTGGGCCGCCTCCCCCGCTGACCGGCGTGGGAGGCTGGTCCTGGGGCCGGGGGTGCGCACCCACTGTGTGCTCTTCAGATAAAACCCTCCACGTGGCCTGCCCCGAGGCACCTGGCTCCTGTGAGCAGGGCCGCCCCGGTGTGGGTGCTGCCAAGCCTGTGCCCTTTGCCACTTTGCAGGGGAATAACTGAATTTTTCATTTCTTGTTTTTTAAAAAATATATAAATTTTTAATGATTTCAGAGAGGAAAGGAGAGGGAGAGATGGAGAAATATCAATGAGACAGAATTATTGATCGGCTGCCTCCTGCACGCCCCCTACTGGGGATGGAGCCCGCAACCCGGGCCTGTGCCCTTGTCCGGGAATCGAACCCTGACCTCCTGGGTCACAGGTCGGTGCTCAGCCCCTGCGTCTCCTCAGCGGGTGCCGTGGCCCAGGTGTTTCTCCAGAGCGAGCAGCTGACATCCCTTCCTCCCGACGATGGAAGCCTGGGGCTGGGGGGGTCTGCCCCCTCCTGGCGGGCACTGGCCTGGCTCCGGGGCTTGGGGGCTCGGGGGCTCGGAGGGGCGTGACCCTTGGTAACCTGTGTGTCTCCCCGCAGAACTGCCAGGCCTTCAGCAGCCTCAGCGGGACGGAGGACCGCGCCCCCCGCAGCCCCTTCGCCCTGCACGTCGGCAGCACCCGGGCCTGGGCCGCCCTGTTCTCGGCCGCGGCCGCCGGGCCCGGGGGCAGGACCCCCGCCGGGACCCCGGTGCCCGAGCCGCCTGCCCCCTCCTTCGACGCCCTGGCCTGCACGGAGGAGCTGTGCTGGGAGGAGGCGGAGGGCGGCGCCCCGGGCGAGGGCTGCGGCCGGCGGGGGGATCCCGCCCCCGCCTGGCGGGACCGGGGGGCCGAGAGCAGCCCCTGCTCCCTGGACGGCGAGCTGGACATCGAACAGATAGAGAACAACTGAGGGCCGGCGGGCGGCCCGGCATCCGCCTCCCCGGGGCCGGGCGGGCGCTGGAAGCGGAGCCCACTTCCGGCCTGAGAAGGCGTCCGGGAAGGAGCCGGGTCCCAGGAGCGCCCCCTCCTCCCCGGAGGCTGCTGCCCGGAGACTCCGGCCCGGTGCGCCCACGGCCGCCGGCAGCAGAACGGAGCCGGGCCCTCACCGGCGCGGCCACGGCCACAGGACACGGGCCCCACGCGTCCCAGGCGCCCGCCGGGCACTCCTCCCCGCTCTGCCCCCCGGGGTGTCCGGTCCCTCGGCCTCCAGCTCAGGTTTCTCTCCCTCAGTCTCACTCTGTGCCTTGCCTCCGGGCCCGCAGGCTGGGAAGGCTCAGGAGGCACCTCCTTCAGCACAGACCCGAGCGGCCTTCCTTCCGAGTGAGAGACGGGCCCGGGGCCTTCCCGTCTGAACATGGGCCAGGGAACAGCCTGGGTGCCCGGCAGAGGCCATCAGGTGGGGCAGACGTGGGCGCAAAGACAGACCCGCTCACCTCCCTGTGAGCGGCCAGCCTGGCCCGGGCTCCCGGCCACTCGGGGCCGCTCCACAGGGTTGAGCGTGCCGCCGTCACTGGGGGCAGCTTAGCTGACTCGGGATCGGAGAGATGGCACCATGGGAGGGCAGCCTCTTGGAAACGCCCTCAGGAGGCGGGAGGGTGAGCAGGTGCCCACGCCAGGCCCGTGCCCAGGTCAGGGTGCGGTGTCGCTGGCCGCTCTGGGGCCTGGCCGAGGCTGGCACAGCCCCCGGTGGGATTCCAGGCGCGTGCCTGGGGTGGGGGCATTCCCTGGGGCTGTAACCGGGGCACCCCGTCCACCGGGAGACGGAGCCCGCTGCTCGGCGTTGGGAGCGGAGGGTGCTCATTGCCACCCCCTTGCCGAAGCCCCGCCCCGGGCACAGAGCTCCAGGCACACACACCCCCTGCTCCTTCCCTCCCCAGCCCCCCTCCTCCTCGAACCCTGCTCCTGGCCCTGGCAGCCCTGGTGATGGCGAGGAGCCTGCCCCCTGAGACTTCACCCCGCCGCCCGGCTCGGCCAGCTGCAGACGACCGTGTGGCTGTTGGCATCGGGCCTTAACGCCCTGGCACCTCCGCACACAGCCACCTGGTGGGCTCAGGAGCCCTGGCTCCTCTTCCCGCGGCTAAGAGCAGCCAGTGCGGGCGCCCCGGGTTCCTGGTGGGATCAGGCAGGGCCTCCCCTGCAGCTCACCTCCCTGAGGACAGGCCCCGGAGCCCCACACCCTCACTGTTTCCATCGGAAGAGGTGGCGCAGGCCCGGGCGCACAGGCGGCTTTTCGGCAAATCGGCCGGGACGCTGGCAAAGCCCGGCCGTGGCCGAGGAGGTGGTGCTGGGTCCCGGCTGGAGCATGATAGGGGGCGGGGAGGGGTGCACCCCTCGTGGCGTGGAGACCAGAGCTGGAGGCTCAGGGTTGATGAGCACATCTTGCCCGTCCCCTCCAGGTGGGTGTGGGCGTCCTGTTCTTGGCGGTAACCCGGGAAGGCTGGGCCGCGGTCAGGTCACCGGACGGCACCTGCACTGGAGACCACGTGCTCCGTGTCCTCCCAGCCGGTGGGAGGCAGGGCTGGGCCCACCGCTCGAAGGCAGTCCCTCCTGGGAAGGAGAGGCCCGTCCCCCTGTCCACACAGCAGGTGCCCACGGCGAGGGGGGCGGGGGCTGGGCCGGGCCGGGCAGCGGCCCCAGGTGCCGTTCCTGGGGCGGAGGAGGGGCCACGTTGGGGGTGGGGGGTGTCTCAGGGCTGCAGTGCAGGTGACCTCAGAGCCCTCCTCCCCCCTGCCCTGCGGTCCGCCCGCTGGGGGCCGCTGGGAAGAGGGACTCCAGGCCCGGCAGGCTGGCCCTCTCCTGGCTCCCATCTCCCGGGCCCTCGGGACTGTGCTGCCCAGCAGCTCCTGGCCACACCCACACCACAGCCGCTTGTGGAGGGATGGCCCTGTCCCTTCTTGGAGGAGACAGTCTTGGGCTGGTTGTGTATTTGGTTGGAGAGGGCAGACTTCTAGAAGGTTCTGCCGCCTGCCCGGAGAGCCCCTCGGGTCCTGGAGGGAGGCCCCGCTGACCACGCCCTGCCGGAGCCTCCCTCGGCCGATGACCATGACCTGCTCTGCGGGCACAGGGAGGACGTCCGAGCCGGGAGGGAGGGAGGGCGGCTGCCAGGCCTGCGGGACAGCCGAGTCGTGGGGGGCGGTGGGTGGGGAGAGGCCCCCTCTCACCCAAAGCAGCACCCGCCCCAGCCACTGGGCTCACGGCCGGAATGGCGAACCTGCCCGCCCCGCCCCGCCCCGCCCGGCGGGCGCTGCCAGCCTCACGTTTACATGCCGCCATCTCTTGCCTTATTCCCGGTGGCCACCCCGGCCACCGAGCTTCTCTGACCACACACATTCCCACTCTCGGAAAGCCTTACTTTTCAACAAGATTTTTGTAGCAGGAAAGTTTCGTGGATTTGTATCCGGAGGAAAATGCCAATAGAGAAGCCACGTGATCAAACCAAACCGACGTCCGAATGGGTGTCCCTGCGCAGCGCGCGTGGCTCCCGCCCTTGGGTGCTGCCCAGGGCCTAGGGCTGCCCGTCCCCGCAGCCTTCCTGGCATCGACCCCCACAGCCCCTCCCGGGAGGCCCTGCGCCTCTGCCTCTGCTCAGGTCACGCGTGCCCTCTGGCTTCGGGGCCGGTCACCTGGTGGTGACCGCTCCAGCTGTGGCCGGGGGCGCGAGCAGTCCCTGCCGACGCCGGGCCGTGGGTGCGGCCCCGGACCGCCTCTGGCCGGTCACACAGCTGCTCGAACCCCTCCCCTGGCGCCAGCGGACACCAGGCCTCTTGAAAGTACAAGATGAGAGTCGCAGGCCAGGCGGGGCTGGGGCCTGACCCTCCGGCACAGCCTCCGGCAAGTTGTGTTGCCGGGGTGTGGGGGTGTCCTGGGGCTCGGCGACAGGGTGGCCTGTCCCTGGGGATGGGCGTGTTTTCCGGAAACTCCAGGGAGGGTGGCGGCCTGAGTGGGCGGTGGGTCAGGCCCCTGCCCGGCAGAGCCCCGTGTGCCCAGGCGTGGGGTCTGGCCACCCCTGCCCCCAGCTGCTCCCCACCCCCATGGGCCATGCTGCCTTGCACTAGAGCCCTCTAGTCTCAGGAATTCGCTTGTTACTTTTACTGTGTAAATAAAGCTTCCTGGTTTAATGGCCACCGCAGAGCTGTCCGGCTGGTTTCTGTTGGGCGTGGCTAATGGGCGGCCCCCGGGGCAGGGCAGGGCCGGGACCCCGTCACCTGAGCCTCGGGGTCCGTCTGTGAGGTGGGACAGCAGGCTCTCCACACTGTGGGGAGGCTGGATACGGGGCTGGGGCGGCGTGAGGGCCAGGGGGAGATGGGCTGTGGCCAGGGCCATGGCTGGGGGGTACCATTCTAGAGGTGCCATCTGGGTAGCCCCGTGCCCAGGCCATGCTCGTGTGTGTGTGTGTGAGAGTATGTATGTGTGTGTGTGCGAGATAGAGAGGCGGAGGGCTCAGCTCCTCACCACACTGGGAGCCAGGACGCCAGGGCAGCCGTGGAGATGCCCCGTCTGTGACCTCCAAGTCCAGATGTGGGGGGCCCGCCTTTCAGAGCCCCCGAGAGCTTCGCTCAGCTCCGGTGCCGAGAGCCAGGCCCCGGGGGGGATCCTGCGTCACCGTGCTGCCGACCGCCGGCCCGGCCCACAGCCCTGCAGGCACCTGCCACCGGGGTCGCCAAGGAGGTGGCCTGGAGGACAGGGTGGCTCACCGCCCTGCGGGCACCCAGCGGGGCCGAGGGGCTCGGGCACTGTGCCGCCCTCCAGGTCGGGGCGTGGCTGACACCCCGTGGAGAGCTCGCCTCACTGCACAGCCGTTGGCCACGCGATCTGCCCGCGGGGCTGTGCCTAGGACACGGAGGTCCTGGGGGCCTCGGTTTCCCCGTCTGTGAATGAAAGGGCTGGGCAGGGCAGGAGTCCCAGGGCCGGCCCTCTGCTGTTCGTGATTCAAGCCCCCCAACCTCCCCCCGTCCCCCCCTCTGCCCTGTAGCTGAAGCCCACGTTCCACAGGTGGGTTTATTGCTGGTTAGTGTCCTGCACACAGTGGGCGCCGTGGCCCCGGGGAGCGCCTCGGCCCGCAGCCCGCCCAGCGGTCACGTCAGGGTGCCGAGTGGCCACTCTGAGTCCCGTGGGCGGGGCGGTGCCCGGAGGTGGCTCCGCTGGGCTGCACTGGCCGAGGGGAGGCCGTGCCCTCCAGGCTCCGACGGGAAAGGCCAGAAGGTGGGTGAGGAGGCCGGGACCTGCCTGGCCCACGTGGAGCATCCACAGCACCGGGAGCCGGAGAGCACGCGCACGCCGGTGCCGTGTTCCCGGTGCCCAGCCCGCCCGGGGTTTCTTCTCGGGGGCCTAGCCCCCTCCCCTGCTCCACCGGCCTCGGGCAGGGGGAGGCCCCAGGGAGGGAGAGGAAGGGCCCCTCGCCGGCCTGTGGAGGGGAGGGCAGAGCCGGGTGGCCTGGGCGGGCGGGGCAGGAGGCGGGGCCTTCCCGGAGCCGTCACTGGTCCGCGTGCCGCAGCAGCAGGTCCACGGCCTCCGCCAGGTTGTCCACGTACCCGTCAGCCTTCACCTCGGGGTGCTGCTCGTCGCTGGGCCTGGGGGTGGGGGGGGGCACGTGTCAGGCCACGTGGGGCCCAGGTGGCAGCGCCCCAGGCAAGCTCTCTGGCGGGCCAGAGGCCTGGGCTCACAGCAGAACAGAAGCCCCCCCTGCAAACACCCCCGTCCCCATTCCCCACCACGTCCCTGGCACTTGCCCCAGGACCGTCTCCCCGGCCCCCAGGCCAGCTTTACTGTCCTCAAAGGAACCAGCCCCAAGGGAGCACCTTGTGGCCCTGGCCAGTTTGGCTCAGTGGATAGAGCCTCGGCCTGCAGACTGAAGGGGCCCGGGTTCGATTCCGGTCAGGGCACAGTCCCAGGTTGCGGGCTCAATCCCTAGAAGGGGAGGTGCAGGAGGCAGCCAATCCATGATTCTCTCTCATCACTGACGTTTCTCTTTCCCTCTCCCTTCCTCTTTCTGAAATCAATAAAAATGTGTTTTTGTTTTTTTTTAAGGCACATTGTGATGAGACTCTGGCCAGCCCCCTGTGCACGGTACTAGCCAATCAGCATACGTGGCTAATTGTGTTTACGTGTGATTTAAACCCGAGGATCCATTAAAAGAGGATTGCATGAGCGGCCGGCGCTGTTTGCCAGCACAGGAAATCGTGGGCTTTCTGTCTTCATTGCAGGAGGCTGCTCAGGGCTCAGGGGACCCCGTGCATGAAGCTCCTCGCCTTCCCTGCCCGCCCTGAAGGCCCGGAGCCCCCTCCATGCTGGTCTGTGGCCCGTGGGGCCTCCATCCCGCACACGAGGGGGCTGGACCCTGAAACCCAGCAATGGTGTGCCCTGCAGTGGGCGCAGAGCAGAGAGGCCTGCGTGGCCTGGGGGCGGGTGAGCCACACGCTGCCCCCCAGGACGAGGGACAGACACGCCTGGCCCACGTGTGCGCACAGCTCTGGGGCGGGCATCCGACACATCCACGCCAGATGAGGACACGGACACAGACACGGACACGGACACAGACACGGACGGGGGCTGGCACCTGCCCGGTCACGGCAGGGCTCATCTTAGCGGCCCTTCCCTCAGCGCATGGGACACAGTCTCCACCCGGAGCCCCGTGTGCTGTGGCCTCGGCCGGGCCCAGAGGCCCGAGGCGGGCGCCCTCCCCCTGCGGCTCCAGGGCGGGGCGGCCGAGGTGCTGGCCGTGCAGTGAGCGGGCGCGGTGTTGGTGGAAGACCCACGAGGAGATGAGGGAGGCACCGTCACACGGACCCCCACGAGGTGCTGAGAGCCACGTGGCCGCCCCGCGCCTCCCGGTCTGGGCCGGCCGGCGGCCAGGGCCCAGGCGGGCCTGACGGGGCCGCTGCACCCGGGCCCGGGCAGGGGGCCGGCCGGCGAGGAGGGACTTCCCGTGGACCCGGCCCGCCCACCGCTCTGCGGAGGGAGGAACCGGCCTGCTCACCGCAGGTTCCAGCCGGTGGCGCCCTGTCAGCCAGAACAGACCGCAGCGCCAGCTGCTTCCTGCCTGGGCACCTGGGCGGGGAGGGCACAGGCGGCAGCCAAAAATGTGGGTGTGCCACGTGCTGCCCGCGGTGTGCGGCGTCCGGGAGACCCCTCACCCTGACACACAGGCTCTGAGCCCCGCCTCTGCCCCGTCCACAGGCGGGGAGGCCCAGGGGGGGCCGGGCAGAGTGACTTCACAAGCAGAAGCCGGGACTCGGGCTGAGACGGGCCAGCACGCCCCAGGCGATCGGGAGCGGCACCACAGCGCCCCCCCGGATGGGCTAGTGGCCTCTGGGTGCCCCCCTTTCCCTGTGGCCTCCCTCATCCGTCACCCGCTGGTTCCTGCTGCCCGCCCCAGAGCACCAGCTGCCCCTCCCCAGAAGCCGGTCCTGGCACATCCCCCCCACCTCCCCCACTCCACCGCACCGTCTGCTTAGCTGTGCCCCCAGGGGGGTGATTCCTGAGGTCTGGGCATCTTGGGGGGGGTGCGCCGGGCGTGCGTGGCCTTCCTGTCATGCAGCCTGGGCCTGGCGGAAGGGCCTCACCATCGTGACGTGGGACACGGCCACGCCGAGCCCTGGTTCCCTCAGCCGCGAGGGGAGCAGAGCCTCCGGGCTGCAGGGGAGCCGGGGAGATGGTATGGTGGGCACAGCGTGGCCTAGGAGGGGATGGGTGGCACCAGTGTCCCGCACTGTGTGTGTGTGTCTACCCGCAGGTGCATTTCCTCCCTGAGCCGCAGGGGGCGCTGTCCACGGTGCAGAGGCTGCTGGGGCTCCGCAGAGCGCCCTGAAGCCAGGAAGGCCCCTCAGAGGCTGCGGGCAGGGCACCGACCTCAGACCTCACGCTGGGACAGGATCCTGCTTGCTGCGGGGAGAGGGCCCTCGTGGCCTGGGCCTCCGACAGTGGAGCACACGCTGCCAGCCCTCTCTGAGCTGCTGTGGGACCTGCTCTTGTGGGTGAGGACGCAGGCCTGGCAGGGCTGCCCCCCGGGACCCCCTGCCCCCGGGGCCCGCGAGCAGGTGGGTGGGTGCTGGGCCTCGGCCCATCCCGTCTCCTGCAGGACGACCCCTGCCCTCAGCCGCGCGTCACTGGGGCCTCCCATGGGACAGGCCGCTGTTCGGATGAGGCCCCGGGGCGTCGGGCCTGGGCTGCCACGTCCGGTCCCCACGGAGGGGGGGGCGAGAGGGGGGTGCCAGTGCCACGTCACACCTGGGCCAGCAGGAGGCCTCTCGGCTCCGATGGCGCATCCTGAGCGCGAGGAAGACCCTGGCTGTCCTTCCAGCCCTCACTGCCACGGAGGGCAAGGCCAAGGCCAGCGCGGGCCCGCCCCCGTGGGGAAGGGGGCACGTACACACAGAGACAACTGCTCACCAAGCCAGGCCGTGTGAGCCACAGGCAGGCCCGGCCGCGGGCTCAGTGGTGAGCATCCACCTAGGAACCAGGGGGTCAGGGCTCCGTCCCCAGTGTGGGGCGTGCAGAAGCTGGTCCCGGATTCTCTCTTCATGGATGTTTGTCTTTCTCTTCCCTCCCCCACCCTTCCATCTCTGACATCAACAGAAGTTTATATTTTTAAAATCTCACAGGCTAATGAGGGACGCCGACAGACTCATCTGGACGTCCCAGCATTCCCCGTGGGCGGGCGCCCGTGGCACCGTCTCCCTGGCAGCCAGGGGCCCCTCCCTGCCCAGGCCTCAGCCCTGGCTCGCTCTGCAGCCCCAGCCCCATTTCCTCTGCCCTGGGGGGTGGGGTGGGGGAGAGGGGAGAACACCGTGATTGGAGGAGTGAGCCGTGTGCGGAGGTTTGGAAAGAATGGCGGTGCGCGGCCAGGACGGCCGAGAGCTTTCCTGAAGGGCCTTGGCCTGGAAACTAAGTCAAACAACGGCGTTGGCAGCACGGCTCCCGGCACAGCCAGCCCCGGCGGCCAGCACCCGTGGGCCTGGGATGACGCCGCCTTCACCGAGCCGGAGCGCTGCCAGGGGGCTGTGGACGGGGGGCTGCGGACCAGGGGGCGTGGCTCAGTGGTTGAGCATTGACCTATGAACTAGGAGGTCAGGGTTCAATTCCCTGCCAGGGCACAGGCCCGGGTTGCGGGCTCCCTCCCATGTGGGGCGTGAGGAGGTCTGCACGCCCTCTACTGGAGATTAAGCTGGCAAACTGGGTTCGTGCCTTTGACTGGTGAGCCACACCAGCCAGGGCGACGAGGAAGGTTTCAATTCCTCTTGGCGTCGGTTGTCTCTGAGGCCTCCCGGTGATTATGGGGGTGGGGACCAGGGGGCACCCTCCATGTCCCCCCTCTGACCCGCAGTTCCCCTCCGGGGAACTTGTTTTAAAGAAATCATCAAGCACACACACACAAACATGTTTGTGACGAGGCCCGAAAAGCCTGGGCTGACAGTGTGGTGCCGTGGTGAGCTCGGCTGTGACCGGGCACTGCGGAGACGGGAGGTGTCCCGGGAGGAGGCGGGGGCGTGGGGATCACTGCCCCCCGGCTGTTCGGTGATTATGAAATCCTCGCCCAACAACAAGCTTTTTCACAGACACACACGTCTGGTGGGGATTCTCACTGGGACACATGAGACGGTGGGAAATGGAAACTGTCTCCAGGCTGGGTCCTTCAATGCACAACGTGCAAAGTGCGTGTGTGTGTGTCCCCTCCCCCTCCACCCCCGGACCCTGGCAAAGAGGAGGCACAGACAGGGTGCTAACGGGGAGAAGCACAGTTGTCGGCCTTACAGCTGCGGTGTGGCTCTGGCCAGTAAAAAGGGGCGTGTACATGCACATGAGAACCCAGAGGACCACGTCAGACCGTCTCGGCACCGTGGCTGCCGTGGCCGCGTGGGCGCAGCGAGCGGTCCCCGTAACCTCTCCCCCCGCAGCCGGGAGACCCACTCACACCGACGTCCCCACACACTGTCTTTGCGCAAAAACCCACGAGGGACCATCCGGCTGAATAAACGTGGCAGGATGAGAGCTGCAGCCTTGCCCTGGCTGGTGTGGCTCAGTGGATGGAGCATCAGCCTGCAGACTGAAGGATCGGGTTCGATTCTGGTCAAGGGCATGCACCTGAGTTGCAGGCTGTGTGGGAAGCAGCCGATCGATGTGTCCCTCTCACATGGATGCTTCTTTCTCCCCCCTCCCCTCTCTCCTTTCCACTCTCTCTAAGGAACAGCGTCTCCACTAGCTCCCCCTCCCCGCCCAGTGCGGTGCCCTCGCCCCTCCCCCTCTTCCCGTCTCTCCGCTCTGCCCTCCGGGGCACAGGCTGCCCGGCCTGGGCCTGCGGGCACCCCCCTTCCAGCTGGGACGTGTTCCCCTCGCCGAGGCGGGGCTGTGGCAGGGCCGCCCGTGCCGTCTGGGGGAAACGCCGAGGGAGGCGGCGGAGGGCAGGCCGGCAGCTGCGTCTTTATTTATAATCCCAGCGCCCAGGCCCGCGAGGTCAGGAGAAGCGTGAGGCCAGAGCGTTTTCCCGAACATCCTCCGAGGCTCCGGCAGGAGCGGCCCCGGGGCCGGGAGCGGCCGTGTCCGTCAGAGACGCTGCCCCGGCCCCCGGCCCGCGCGGCGGCAGAGGAAACGCCGAACGCGTGCGGGACCAGGGCCCCCAGCCGCACGCCCGTGTTCGCCGGCGTGGGAGCGGGCAGCGCGGTGAGAGCCGGCCCGATGCCCTCCCTCGGACCCGGGACAGCGTGGGCACGGCCGGGGCAGGCGAGGGCACGGGGCGGCCCTGCAGGGGCACCAGGGCAGGGAGTTTGGCTTTGCCTCCTGCTCCACACGCTTCTCATTGCCTCTCGTCAGCACCTGCTTCGGCTGAGTGTGCGGAGCACGGGGCCGCCGGGCGGGCCGAGAGCCACAGAATCCCCTGGCTGCCCGGCCGCCGAGCGCCCCCCCCCCCCGGGGGAGGGAGGGGCAGCGTCAGCGCCCGGGCGGCCTCACCCCCAGCCCGGAGACCGGCATGGAGGTAAACAGTGATGGCGAGTCCCGTGAATGTTAATCAGGAGCCTAATGAGCGGTGCCCGCCGAGCTGTGGGTCAGACCAGGTTTGTGTGCAATTACCCTAACGGGCATATGGGTCGCAATTACGCTCCAATTAAACCCCAGCGAACTGCCTGTTAATCAGCTGGGCCTCCTCCCGCTCCGGCCGCCCCTGCGGCTCCGGGCACCTGCGGGCGGGAGGCGCGGGGCGGGGCACACGGTCTCTGCGGTTCAGAGGACGAGGCCGCGCACCCCCCGCCCGTCCGTCCGCGCTGCCCAGTGAGGAGCCCTGGGCCGTCTTCGCCTCTGACTCCGCCCCCAGCAGCCCCGCGTCTCCTCTCGGGCGGGAGGTGGTGAATATTAACCCCTCTCCGCTGGGACCCGCGGGGCGGGGGCAGCGAGGGTGCTGGGAACCCCGATGGCTGCAGGAGGGCTGGGGCGGCAGAGGGTCCGAGAGGAACTGAGGGGCAGCCAGCGGGCGGGGGAGGCGGGAGGTGCCGGAGGCCGGGGCCGCTTGCGGAGAGGAGAGGCATCTGGGAGCAGAGGGGTGGGAGGACCGGCGGAGGCGGCGGCTCAGCGAGGCTGGGGAGGCCGTCCACCTGCCTCAGGCCCGCAGAGCGACGCCCTCGGCACCAGGCCGGCACCCGTGTCCCCACGCCGCACCGGCCGCACCGCGCGAGGGGGCGGAGGGGCGGAGAGCCTGGGAGGCTGGGCCACCGGCTCTCAGGCGGGACTCCTGCCCCACGTGGCTCCCACAGGCCGGCCTGGCTGGGACCTGGCGGGGGGCGCCCTCTAGTGGCCCCAGCAGAGAGCGAGGTGAGGGAAGGCACCGGCCCCTGCCCTAAGGTCTGGGCCGGTCATTGGCAGGTGCCCGAGCAGGTGCCACGGGGCCTCTGGATTTCCGGCCCCGGGTGGAGGGGTTGGGGGGACCACAGAGCTCCTAGGCCTGCCCGGCCAAGGTGCAGCCTGTGCGCCCACAGTGCCCTCTGCTGGGGGTAAAGGGCAGGGCGGCCCCACTGCCCAGCAGAAGCAGAGGCCAGCCAGAACTTTCATGAACATCAGCAGGTGAAAGCACCATCAGGGTGGGCTTCTGTCATCAGTATGCACACTGCCGATGAGACTCGGCCCCGGCCCCAAAGCCCTGGTCTGCTGGGAAGGCAGCGCGGCCGGCCTCGGCCTCGGGGACGGGCCTGGCCCCGGCGGTGCCCACGTGGGAAGGGGCCCCTCTATCTGGGGACAGGAACCGCAGGGAGGCGCGGGGCAGCCACGGGCCTCACCTGAACTTGCCGGTCCGCACCTGCAGCGCCCGCATCCCGCACCGCTGCGCCCCGCCGACGTCGCCCACGATGTCATCGCCGACCATGACGGCCTGCCACGGAAGCCACAGCCACGGAGCCACGTCAGCGGTGCCAGGCCTCGGCTGACATCACCAGCGGGATCTGACGGTTAAGATGACCACAGCCCGGCTGGCATGGCTCAGGGCTGAGCGTCCACCTGGGAGCCAGGAGGTCAGGGCTCCATTCCCGGTCAGGGCCCAGGCCCGGGCCACGGCTCCATCCCCAGTGGGGGGCGTGCCGGAGGCAGCCGAGCCGTGATTCTCTCTCAGTATTGATCTCTCCCTCCCTCTCTGAAACCAATTTAAAAAAAAAACTCCTCCCCCTCACAGGGACACCTGGGCCGGGCGGCAGGGAGGACTCTGGAGGAGGAGCCGCAGCTGGGCTTCTGCCTGATGGTCCCATGCCCAGGCCTGCAGGGTGCGGGGCCTGCAGGGTGAGGGACCTGGGGTGTGGGCCTGCCGGGGGTGGGCCTTGGGGGTGGGGCCTGTGGGGTGGGGGGTGCGGGGTGGAGGCCTGGGGGGTGGGGCCTGTGAGGTGGGGGGTGGGGCCTGCGGGGTGGGGGGTGCGGGGTGTGGGGTGGGGCCTGCGGGGTGCCGGGTGCGGGGTGCGGGCCTGCCGGATGGGGGTGGGGGCCTGCCGGTGAGGGCCGTGGTGGCCGGCTGACAGCCATGTGCAGCGCGGGCAGCGATGCCCGTCTGGCCGGCCTGCTGCCGAGCAGCGGGTCCCTGGGGACGCACAGCGCTCGGCGGTGAAGGGCAATGATCGCGGGCGGAGCGGCAATTACTGCCCGGCGGCTGGGGATTAGGGAATCGCTGGTGGAGATGGGGGTCAGGAGGTGCGCTGTCGGGGGAAATTAGCCGGCCGTCAGCGCCGCCTCCGACTCAGCCTCAGCCTGGGGGGAGGCCAGTGCGGGCGGAGCTGTGGGCCACGGCCCAGCAGCCGCTCTGGTTTGGGCTCAGAGAGCAGGTTCCCTCCTTCCTGAGCGTGTGCCCCCGCGGCCTCGGCTGCCGTGCCGGCCGGCAGCCTGCTGGTGCTGATGGGCTGCCGGGAACCCCCACCCCCACACAGGCCTGGCCCCCGGGAGGAGCCCGGTCACCCCGGCCACCCACACCGGAGGCCCCTCCACCGGCGGCCTCAGTGCGAGGAGCCGGCACAGCGGCGGGGCTGCCCGACGGGGGGACAGCCTGCGGGCCGTGCCTGCGGCCGGGGGTGGGGGACCCCCTTCTCGGATGGAAGCGAGCAGCGGAAAGACGATGCTCCTAAGAACCTCTCCCTCCTCCGCCAGGAGGCGCTGGTGGCCGCGGCCATGAGAACCGGGACAGGGCCCCAGGGGTTCCGTGCTGGGCTCTCTGTGGGCCCCCACGGCTGGCGTCCCCCGGGGTGTTCTGCGGGCCACAGCGGGGCATCCTACAGGGCCAGCCCAGACCCCGCCCCGAGAGCCCGGCCCTGTGCCCAGCGCCTCAGGCGGAGGCGGGTGCCCGGGGCCAGAGAAGAGCTTCCCGCAGACACCCGTGTGCTCGCACCGGCTAGGGGGCCGGCGTGTTCTCCTCTCCGTCACCTCGGGGGAGGCTACAGGGCCCACTCTGCGCTCTGAGGAGTAAGAAGCCCAAGGACATGGCCATTATCGGGGTGTCCGCTGTGAGCTCACCGACTCAGGTCACAACAGTGGGAGCGACGGCTTCCTACAGAGAAGCGGCCGGAGGGCCGGAGGACGGGCCACTGTCACTGCAGCCCTGAGGGTGGCTCAGGCTCCGGCCTCGGGGCTGCTGGCACCCACAAAGGGACCTGGGATGCCCCCCCCCCCCAATCCCCCCTCAGAGCAGTCACTGCAAAGCTGAGCCGGCTCTGACCCGGCTTCGAGGCCCCGCCGCCACACCCAGGGCACAGAGGGCGGAGGGCACCCGAGGGCACCCCTCTGGGCACACCACTTCTCCCACCCTCCGGAGGGGACAGGGAGGCGCGAGGCTGGGAAGGGACGGATGGAAAAGCACCAGCCCGGGCCAGTGCGGCTCAGTGGATAGAGCGCCCTGCCTGGGGCCTGTGGACTGAAGGTCCCGGGTTCCATCTCCGTGGCAGGCTAGAGCGCCCGGTCAGGGTGCGTGCGGGAGGCAACCCATGGATGTGCCTCTTTCTCATCGATGTTTCTCTGTCTCTCCCCCTCCCGCCACTCTTTAAAAATCAATGAAAAAATAATGTCCTCTGGGGAGGATTAGGGGGGGAAAGAATCACCTGACCCATCGCAGTGCAAGGGCCTCCTGTGATTCAAACACCTGAGGCAGCACAGCCCTGAGCGCGGGGCCCGGGGGCGATGGGCGGCGGGGGCGGCACCTGTGCTTCCGTAAGGAGCACCCTGCGCTGTGGGGACTCGGAGGTGCTGCAGCTGACGCGGCACCATTTCCGGGACCCGGTTCAGGGGATGTGGGGGGTGGGGGGGGCAGATGAACCCCGAGGCGGCTCGCCGGGAACGGGCTCTGGCTGCCGGACGCAGGGCAAGCGGAGCCACAGGACCCGCCACCAGGGGAAGGGCTGTCACTCGTGAAATACGACCAGCACGGCGATCCGCGTGGGAGCAAACAGCCAAGGGGGAGAAGGGAGAGCTTGTCCTCACGGTAAAGCCCGCCAGGGGCTGAGCATCGACCTAGGAACCAGGAGGTCAGGGTTCGATTCCCGGTCGGGGCACAGGCCCGGGTTGTGGGCTCCATCCCCAGTGGGGGGCGCACAGGAGGCAGCCGATCCGTGATTCTCTCTCACTATTGATGTTTCTCTCTCTCTCTCCCTCCCCCTTCCTCTCTCTTTAAAATTCAATTAGAACATTTTTAAAGCTGGTGGTGGGGCGGCTGACAGCGGCTGCAGAGGTCTGGGTTAACTGCCGTCGTGCGTCAGCATCGCTGTGACGGCCGTGTGACAACACGGGAGCCGGCTCAGGGCACGGGACATTCCGCGCGAATGTGACATGGTTTCCAGCGGACGTGAGAAACCATCAGAACGGGGCTCCGTCAGCCGGTCATCACGGGAGCTCAGTGAGGGACACGGGGTTCGTGAGGCACCGACAGCTGACATGATTCTCGATGGAAGTTAAACAGTTTTAAGAGGCGAAAGCCACACGCAGGGAAGGCAGGACTGCGTTTGGATTTGATGCAAAAACACATCGACACCAGACGCGTTTCTGAGACGGCCAGGAGCCCAGAGTGCGGACTGGAGCCGGCTGGCGTGGCTCAGTGGGGAGCGTCGGCCCAGGAACCAGGAGGTCCTGGTTCCATTCTGGGTCAGGGCACAGGCCCGGGTTGTGGGCTCGGTCCCCAGTGTGGGCGTGCAAGAAGCAACCGGTCCGTGATTCTCTCTCATCCATCGTGGATGTGTCTCTTTCTCCCTCTCCCTTCCTCTCTGACATTAATAAAAAATATATTTAACAAACAATAAACAAACACTCAGCGGACTTCCTTGGCTGCCTCTTCCCGTTTCCAGCGGAATCAGCTCTCGTGGTGCGGGGTCCGCGTGGGGCTGCCCGGCCCACGGCCCACGAGGCTGCTTGAGCCCAGCCCTGCGGCCGGCACCCGCTCCCCAAGGCGACCTACCTGGTGGGCCTCCACGCCCAGCTCCCGCAGGGCCGACCGGAAGAACTCGGGCGAGGGCTTGCCCACCACCTCGGCCTGGATGCCGCAGGCGTACTGCAGAGAGAGGGCGCGTGGGCGTGGGCGTGGGCAGGCCCGACCGCGGGGAGGCCCCTCCGGGACCGGGGGAGACAGGCCCAGAGGTGCGCCCCCCATAGGCCAGGGGTCTCCGGGGCACCACGTCGGGCTGCCTGGGACGCTCGGAGCCGCCCCGCCAGGCCCGCCGTCCACTCAAGCTCCGAGCCTGGGGGAGGCGGCCATCTTGGGCATCCCATGGGCACTCTGACTGTGTTCTCACCTGTATTCCTGCTCCCCACTCCCCCGCCCGCTGTCATGGCTCCCCCGCGTCCCGTCTGTCCCTCTTCCAGACAGGCAGGGCGGCGCCCGGTGCGGGCGGCGGTGAGGGGCCGGGGGCTGGGCCGGGGGCTGGGCCGGGACAGCGGAGCCCGCCTGGGCCTGGCTACAGAGTGGGGGGAGGGGCAGGGGGCGGGAAGGGGTTCAGTCAGGACAGGTCAGGCTGCAGGTGCCCAGGGTGGGGAGTGAGGATGGTCCCACGGATAGTGCCCAGGAGGGGGCGCAGTGGGCACGCTGGAGGGTCAGGGTCAGCACCCGGCATGGAGAGAGGGCAGGCACCGCTCTGCAACGCAGGGAGCCACTGAGCCCCCTCCTCCAGAAAGTCTGGAGCGCGAGGAGGGCTGGGCAGTACCTCGAGCGCCTTCATGTAGCAGCCAACGTCCAGCATCAGGCCCGAGCTCTGCTTGTAGTAGCGCCTGGGAGAGGAGGGGACGGGTGAGCGATGCCCGCCCCGACCGGAGGGCCAGGGGTGAGGGCCAGGCAGGAGCCCAGCTGAGCATGGCCGTGTGGTCACCACCCGGCCTGCGGCGCTCGGTCAGAACGGCCCGCTGCCCGCTGTGTGGGGACTCGCCACGGTGACTGACGGGGCCGAGGGCAGATGGGCCAGCTGCTGACAGAGCAGGCCCAGGCCCCGGGAGGACAGCAGGCCCAGAGCACGTGTGAGCCCCCGATTGCTAATCGTTAACCCCGATTGCTGCTGGGGAGAAACGCCCGCAGCTCCGCGCCCGTCCGCCCGTCCCGTGAGCTCGGTCAGAGGCCCGCGGGGTCCGTGGGCGCCAGGTGCCTGAGGAGAAGACAGCGGGGGACCGAGATGGCCGGGTGCTCGGGGACCCACCTCCCCAGTTCCCTTTTCCCTTCCCCTCCCAGCTCCTCAAATCCGGGAGACATCAGACGGCGTGCGCAGGGCAAGAGCAGGCAGGCGTGCTGGCCTCAGGCCTTCAAAGTCCTCGACTGTGGGACTTGGGGTTGCTTAAGACCCCTGGGCCTCAGTTTCCTAATCTGTAAAATGGGCCAAAACCCCCACAGACCAACCAACCCCGGGACCTACTTTACAGATGAGGCTGAGGCTGAGGCAAGCTGAGCGCTCACTGTGTGCCTGGCGTGCAAAACCACTGGAAACCATTTCCAGACCGAGAGGAAGAGCAGTGAGGAGGAGGAGGGGGAGGAGGAGGAGCAGGAGGAAAAGGAGGAGGGGGAGGAGCAGTAAGGAGGAGGAGCAGGAGAAGGAGGAGCGGGAGGAGGAGCAGTGAGGAGGAGGAGGGGGTGCGTGAGGAGGAGCGGGAGGAGGAGGAGCGGGAGGAAGGAGTGGATGCGGGTCTCCCGGATTGTGCTGGAACCTGTCCTGGGACTGTGTGCCCAGCACGTGCCCTGACTGGGAACCGAACTCGACCTTCTGGTTCCAGGTCAACCTCAACCGTGAGCCACGCTGGCCAGGCTGTGCCTGTCTGACCTGTGAGAGCTGAGCCTCCCCCGGGAGCTGCCCGCTGCGCCCTCCCCAGCCCAGGACCCAGCCGGGCTCTCTGCTCGCCTGGCCTCAGCCCGCCCTGGCCTCCAGGACCAGTGCCTGCCCCTCACCCGCCGGGTGCAGTCTGAGCCCATTTCTAAAGCCACGAGGGGTGTCCTGATCGATAGGCCTCGCTGGCCTGCATGTGCCCCATCCCTCCGTGTGCCCATCCCTCCGTGTGCCCAGGCCTCCGTGTCCCCAGGCCTCTGAGCGCACCCAGGCCTCCGTGTCCCCAGGCCTCTGTGTGCCCATCCCTCCCTGTCCCCAGGCCTCCGTGTCCCCAGGCCTCCGTGTGCCGCCTCCTCCTCCGCGGCTCTGTGAGTCGGACTGGGCGCCTCACGCCCACTTACCCGCTCCCCAGGGAGAGGAGCACGGGGTCCGCCAGCCCCATGAGCACCTGGAAGGCCCGGTTCAGGTTGCGGTAGGAGAAGTGGTCCCCCGCGTCCCCGATGAGCACGCAGTTGGGGTTGGACGTGTCGATGTGGTCAAACTCCGAGCGGACTTCTGGAAGCGGGAGGGTCAGGTTCAGAGGCAGCCTGCGCCCTCTCCTCCCTGCACCTCCCCCTGCGCCCTCCCCTCCCCCTGCGCCCCGCCCTGCGCTGTGGCCCGGGGAGAGAGGGTGCTGGCCTGGCCCACCGGGAAGGAGGTCTGCACACACCCCCCCCCCCTCGGCCCCAGGCCTACCGTCGTGGACCAGCAGGTGTGGGCGGAGGCCGCGCTCCTGGAGGAGGCGGCGGGCGGCGGGCGGCGGGGAGGTCACCTCGGCCTCGGACACGTCGAAGCCCAGGCCGCGCAGCTCGCCCACCAGGCGCCCGCGGGACTTCTGCGACTCGTTGGTGCAGAACCGCACCTTCAGCCCCGAGCGCTTCAGCCTGGGGGGGACGGGGGGGCGTTACCGCCCGGCCTCCGGGGCCTGCCCTGGGAGCAGAGGGGCCTCCGGGTCTGCCCTGGGAGCAGAGGGGCCTCCGGGGCCTGCCCTGGGGAGCAGAGGGGCCACTGCCCGGCCACGGGGTCTCGGTGAAGGCACCATGGAGGCAGCGTCCGGGCCGCGGGCTGCGGCTGACGGCGGAAGCGGGAGGAAGGCAGAGCTGCTGACAGCGAGGACGCAGACGCGGACGGGCGGACGGGCCTTCGTCACGGCTGCGATCGCCCGTTCTCAGTATCCGCCTTTCCCAGTCAGAGGGCTGTGCGTGGCCCGCTGTGCGCGTGGTTAATTGCCCTTCATAAAGACGGTTTGGCGTTTTAATTAGGCGGTTAATTATCGGAACTAACAGCATCACCTTGTGCCGCTCGGCCTCCCTGATCGGCGCTGGGCCGTGGTTCACACGGTTAGCGGAGCCGCGGAGGGGGGGGGGGCCTGGTCCTGCTGACGCCGCGTCCTTCTCAGCTCGGCGAGCACCTGCCTGAGCGCGGAGCCACCTGCTCCCCCTTCGGGGCGGCAGACGCGATGGCAGACCCCGTGGGGACACTCTGGCCTGGTCCCCTTCAAACTGCCAACCTGCGCTCTCCAACGCCTCTGCCTGAAACCCGAGGAACAGCCCGGCCGCCTGGCTCAGGGGCTGAGCATCGAGCTATGAACCCGGAGTCAGGGTTCGATTCCCGGTCAGGGCACAGGCCCGGGTTGTGGGCTCCATCCCCAGTGGGGGGCGTGCAGGAGGCAGCCGATCCCTGATTCTCTCTTGTCATGGATCTTTATTTCCTGCTCTCCCTCTCCCTTCCTCTTTGAAATTAAAAAGGAGGAGGAGGAGGGGGGGGAGGGGGAGGAGGAGGAGGAGGAGAAGGAGGAGGAGGAAGAAGAGGAGGAGGAGGGGAAGGGGGAGGGAAAGGAGGAGGAGGAGGGGGAGGGGGAGGGAAAGGAGGGGGAGGAGAAGAAGGAGGAGGAGAAGGAGGAGGAGGAGGAGGAAGAGGAGGACTGGAGGAGGGGTAGGAGGGGGGGAAGAGTAGGGGGAGGGAAAAAAGGGGGAGGAGGGGGAGGAGGAGGAGGGGGAGGGAAAGGAGGGGAAGGGGGAGGGGGAGGAGAAGAAGGAGGAGGAGGGGAGGAGGAAGAGGAGGACTGGAGGAGGGGTAGGAGGGGGGGAAGAGTAGGGGGAGGGAAAAAAGGGGGAGGAGGGGGAGGAGGAGGAGGGGAAGGGAAAGGAGGGGGAGGGGGAGGGGGAGGAGAAGAAGGAGGAGGAGGAGGAAGAGGAGGACTAGAGGAGGGGGAGGAGGGGGGGAAGAGTAGGGGGAGGGAAAGAAGGGGGAGGAGGGGGAGGAGGAGGAGGGGGAGGGAAAGGAGGGGGAGGGGGAGGGGGAGGGGGAGGAGAAGAAGGAGGAGGAGATGGAGGAGGAGGAGGAGGAGGGTACCTACAAGCCAGGAAGAGAACTCCACCCAACCAGGGAACAGCCACTGGCTGCCCACCCCCCTCGCCGTGGGTCTGCTGCCTCAGGGCACACGCCGGCCCCTGCGGCCTGGACGTGAGAGTCGGAGGTCAGGGAAGCCCGAGCCGGCCCAGGAGTGACTCCCAGGGACAGGCCATGTTTTCACCCCTCCCGTCGCCTCAAATCTGGGACAAGGGCTCCCTGAGACCTCGGCGCTGCCCAGCCCGCTGCCCCTCCCCAGGGCCCGGGGATGAGCCGTGGGGTCTGTGAACCGACCTTCGCCTCGGCCCGGCGGGCGGGCAGGGACCCCTGAGCGGCAGCGGCGTCGCCGGGCAATTACGTGCCCACAGAGCGGTCCGTCACCGGCCTCGCCCATCTGCGGCGCCATCTGCCGCCGCTCACCCGGAGATGATGGAGCGTCAGGGCGGGAGCGGGGCCGGGCGGCCCGGGCTGGCTGACCTTGGCTCTCTCCGCAGCCACAGGGCCCGCCGCGGGGAGCTGGCGGGCCGGGAGGGGCCAGGAGGGGCGCCTATGGGATCTGCCGGCCGGCTGACCCGGCCCCCTCCCCACCGAGGCTGCCTTCCCGGCCCCGAGGGCCGCGTCCCACTCATCCGGCAAGGCCAGGTTCATGCGCCCTCCCTCCAGGAAGGCCCCCGGGCCCCGCCGCCTGGGCAGCCACCGGCCTCTGCGTGGCTCTCAGCCTGTGGTCCTCCCTCTGCCTCCCACCGCTCCGGGCTCCCTCGGTGTTTCCTGAGGCACCGCCCACCCCGGCGCCCAGGCCCAAGCCCCTCGCCAGCCCCTCCCACCAGCCACGTCAGTTCTCCATGTGCACACTCTCTTGCCCCTGAGATGGGCATGACAACAGCACCCACCTCCCGTCGTGAGGACCCAGGAGGTGCCACTGGGCACTGTGAGCAGCCGCCGTGGGCAGCGGGCAGCGGGCAGCAGCCCACTCTCCCCCGGTGCCTCTCACGGGGGTGGGAGCCTGCAGCCATGGGGCCGGGCACCCCGGTCCGGAGACCAGGCCCACCGAGACTCCACCCCCTCCCTCTCCCCATCCCGGAAGAGGGACCCACAGGTGCGGGGTTCCTGGGGGAAGGCGAGCCCCTGCTGGCAGGTCACACTCAGGTCACAAATGAGATGGGCGCCCAGAGGGGAGGGGCTTCTCGCCAGCACTGCAGGCTGCTCCGCCTGCTTGTTGTTCTAATGTCGTTTTTGACGGCAGAGAGGGAGGGAGAGGGAGGAATATCCATGACGAGGGAGAATCACTGACCGGCTGCCTCCTGCCCGCCTCCTCCTGGGGATCCAGCCCACACCCCGGCCTGTGCCCTGCCGGGGCCAGAGCCATGGTCAGACATGGCTGGTTTGTTTCTTTTTAAATATATTTTATTGATTTTTTACAGAGAGGAAGAGAGAGGGATAGAGAGTTAGAAACATCGATGAGAGAGAATCACCCCCTACCGGGGATGTGCCCTCAACCAAGGTACATGCCCTTGACCGGAATCGAACCTGGGACGTTGCGATCTGCAGGCCAACGCTCTATCCACTGAGCCAAACTGGTTTCGGCCAAGGCTGGTTTTTCACATAGAAAAATACAGTCATCTGCACACACAAGGGACACCCGACATACATATGGGACACCCCCCCACAGGGGACACCCCCTCCCCCACAGGGGACCCCCCCGCCAGGGGACCTCCCCCACAGGGGACACCCACGTTGACTCCGAGCGTCCTGACGGCACAGCTCAGGGCCAGGAGCCCGGGCTTTCCCGCCCGGGGCTGGGGCTGGCGCTTGCACGTGCCCTGGGCTCCCGGAGTCCTGAGCCTCAGCCAGGCGTGTGGTGACACAGCACCTGGCCCCCCACCCCCACCCCCGCTGGCGGTTCTCCGGGGCCGGGCACTGTGGGCACATGTGACCGCTGCCCTGGGTCACTGCAGGGCCTGGCTGCCAGGATCTCTGCTGAGCCAGCTGTGCCTCTCTCTCCCTGCAGCACCGCCCCCTCCCGCTGGCTGTGGGCAGAGTGTGGGCAGAGTCCGGAGTCTGGACAGAGCGGAGGGGACGGGCGGTGGTAAGAACACGCCAGTGGCCTGAGGACAGGGATGAGGTCACACAGACTGGACAGGCCCAGAGCAGGGCCTTGGGACACCAGGCTCACCTCCCTGCCCGTGGCCGCCCACCCCCCCTCAGTGCTCCCCGCTGACCGGCCGCGCTGACCGGCCGCGCTGACCTGCAGCCGCTGGGGCAGGTCGGAGACACGTGGAGCCGCAGACCTCAGCGCGTTTGTTCACAAACTCCAGCGGGAGGCGGGCAGGGAGTGGACCCTCAGGGGGCCTTGCTGGACACAGACCCCGGCCCCGGTGACCCACCTTTCTCTGGGGAGCAGCCCGGCCCTGGGGAGTGCACAGCCACCATCCTGCCTCTGGGGGGGGTCTTTGAACCTCAGGCTCCTTCTCTCTTTTTAAAAAATATGTTTTTATTGATTTCAGAGGGGAAGGGAGAGGGGGAGATTAGATAGATAGATAGATAGATAGATAGATGATAGATAGATAGATAGATAGATAGATAGCAACGTAAATGATGAGAGGGAATCTTTGACCAGTGGTCCTGCCCACCGACGTGGAGACCAAACGCTCCCCCCCAGTCCCCCCCAGAGGCAGGCGGGTTTACCTGTCCTCTCTGTTGTCTCTCTTTCTGAGCAGAAGGGGTTCATACACATCGCTCCCCGGCTTTGTCACGTGCTACGGGCACGTGTCACAGGAACCAAAGCCAACAGCAAACGGAGAGCCTGCATCCTAACAGGGCACAGTCTGCTCCCTCATCGCCTCCCGAGGGACACGTGGCTGTTCCCCTCTCACCTCCCCCCCCCCCCCCCCCCGCACCTCAGCCATGGACGCCTGCACCAGGCGGGCAGTCTACCGTGCCAGGGGCCCATCCTGCATCCCCCGGCGCACCCGCTCTCTCACCGCCTGGCACACCCGCCCTCTCACCGCCTGGCCTCAGCACCAACGCTGCAGGTGTGAACCTCAAACACAGCCCCGCTCAGCCGGCCGTGTGGCGCAGGGGTTCAGCGTTAACCTGCGAACCAGGAGGTCAGGGTTCGATTCCCGGTCAGGGCACAGGCCCGCGTTGAGGGCTGGATCCCCAGTGTGGTGTTGCAGGAGGCAGCCAATCCATGATTCTCTCTCATCAATGTTTCCATCTCTTCCTTCTCCCTCTCTCTAAGAATCAATAAAAACATATTTCGAAAAAATAACACTACTCAAACAACGCTCCTTTATTTGTTTCATTTGGGGGTTCCACCCCGAGTTCATTGGGGATAAGACTGTGAACCCCCTGGACTGGGATCTGCGGGGGACTCCGTCGGCTCCTGTGACCTGTGACCCATGAGCTTCAGGGCGGGCCGTAAGGGGTGATGGGCGCCACGGGCTCAGGAAAGGGGGCGCACCCTGCACCCTCTGCGCTTTCGAGGGAAAGGGGAGCAGGCCCGGAGGCCCCCACATCCCTGAGGGAAAGAGGAGCAGGCCCGGAGGCCCCCACATCCCTGAGGGAAAGGGGAGCAGGCCCGGAGGCCCCCCGTGGCCCCGAGAGGACCTGACTGAGCCGGGACGGGGTGTGGCTGCCGGACGCCGGTATCCACGCTGGGGGGGGGGGGGGGTGTTAGGAGTTGGCACCGCAGGGAGATGGGAACACAGCGGGGTGAGTGGCCCGCCCTGGCCGCCCTCCATCCTGAGCTGGCACGTCACCCCCACGGAGACGCAGAGGGAGACGGGACAGGACATTCTCCCAACGCCCCCGTCCAAGGTCCGGGCTGAGTCAGGAGGTGCCGCTGCCTAAACAAACTCACCAGGCCCGCCCCCCACAGCGCAGGCCGCGGCAGGGGCCGGCCACACAGGGGAGGGATGGAGCGGGCGAGAGGCTCAGGGCCGCCCACGGTCCCTGCTGGGCCGCCTCCCGGGACCCAGGGCTGACGGTGCCGCGTGGCCAGCACCGGGGGAGTGGGGTCTGTGCCTGCCCGGCTCCAGACAGGGCCCCGGCCGGTTCCTCGTGGCTCAGACCTGCTAGGCGGGGCCTGAGTTCCATGGGGCCCGGCTTCGGGGCACCCCGGCTGTGAGGGCCCCGGGAAGGAGGGGCTGCAGCGGGCGGGGTGTGTGGGAATTGCTTTATGAGGCCGCCTGGGCCCCGCAGAGCCTGGCTGGGCAGTTGTGCTTTAGTGGCCGCCCGCCGGCCCGCCCGGAGGCAGGAAGCCGGGCCTTTCACATGCAGATGCCGGGCCTTTGTGCTCGGAAGGGGAGGGCCCGCTCTGAATGGCTCCCCAATAAAGCGCCCGCGGGGACCCAGGCGGTTACAGGTGTCCCAGGACCGCCCGCCCCGCGGTCCAAGCAGGAAACCCCGTCCTGGTGGCTCCGGAGGGACCACACTGTCCGGAAGGACAAGGGGCAGAGTGCCTCCCGCCCTCCCATCTGGGCTCTGCTGGTCCAGGTGTAGACTTCAGACCCTCATCCCTGGGCCTGCGAGGCCACGCCCCGAGTCCCCACCCCCCCCACCCCACCAGACACCAGCCTTTGGGTGCTCTTTACGGGACCGGCAGTTGGGGGGCTGTGAGTGAGCAGCACCTGCAGGGTGGGGTGAAGGAAGGAGGTGGTGTGGCTGGCAGGGAGAGCCAGGCTCTGCAGTCGGGCAGATGTGGGTGAATCCCAGCAGTTCCCAATCTCTGAGCCTGGGCCCCACTTCGAAAAGGGGCGCACCCCCTCGGGGCTGGCTGTGAGGGTGGCGTGGGGCTGGGCAGGCCTCCCTCACTCCGTGGCGACAGCTGTTGGGGTCGAACAGTTTTAAAGAGCAGAGTGTATCCTCCCCGTGGGCTCTGTCCCAAAGGCGGGCCTTTTCAGGAAGTCAGGGGCACTGTCACACGGAAAGCCCAGGAAGAGGCTGGGACCGCCCTCCCCGGGGTGCCCGGACTGCAGGTGCCTGGTGCGGGGAGCCTGGTGTGGGGAGCCTGGTGCGGGGGGCCTGGTGCAGAGAGCTGGGTGGAGGCAGGTCTCCCCAGGACCCGGTCCCCCTCTGCCCATCACACTGGTCCTGAGGAGGGGCCTTGTCCCCAGGCGCTTCCTCCAGTTCCAGGACTTCAAAGCCGGCCAGCCGCACATCAAGGCCGTGGAGGGAGGTGCAGAGGGGCCTCGGGGGAGTGGGGGCTGCAGGGCCCATGCCCAGGGCCATTCACCTAGGCCCTGATCAAGCCACCTGCGGCTCTTTGGCCCCTTGAGTGTGGCTCTCCCACAAAACACCATGGGCGGCCGCACACCAACAGAGCGATTGCAACTTCGCGGCCCATGCGCAGAAGTTGGATTTCGGCTCTCCAAAGAAATGTCAATCATTGTGCTGTTGATAGTGGGCTCTGTTGACTGATGAGTTTGCCGACCACTGGCCTAGGCACACAGGGCCTGCTCCGGAAAATTCCTGGTGGAGTCCTCTCTTGGCTCAGCCACCACGGAAGGAAATAGTCCCCCCGCCTCCCCATTACTGAAACATCCCAGGGAAAGCCCCGAAGCCGGCCTGTTTTACTGGGGGAAGTTTCCGGAACTGCACTCACTCCGCCTCACCCTGGCCTCCGCCCAGGCCCAGGCAGCCCACGAGCGTGTGGGGCTCCTGTGCCCCGAACGGCCGCCAGGCTGGGCCGCGGGGAGGGCCTCGTCGCCACGGCGGCGGGAGCTGTGGGAGGTTGGCCTCAGTTATGTGGGTTCTGGGGAGTCAGGACTCTGTTCCTAAAATGTTTCCCTTTCACACTGAAATGCATTTGAACTTAATTCCCATCCATCCACTCAATCTTCCGAGAGTGCACTGCTCCCTCACCCCAGGCCCTTCGCCTCCTTCCCGCCAGCCCAGCCACACTCTGCCCCTCCTCAGCGCCCCTTTCTTCCCGTCGCTATGCCAACCTGGCGACTTGGTCTCTCATTTGTGCCCAGTTTACTGCCCACCTGCCCTCCGGACACGCGCCCACGAGGCCTTGTCTGGTTCAGTCACGGCCCCGAGGTCCGGTCCCCCACAGGCAGCGCGGTGCCCGCTGGCTGCTCCCACAGGTGCCCCACCTCGTGCCTGTGATGGGGCCAGCCTGAAGCTGACCGTGGGGCAAACGGAGACTAAGACAGAGGCCATGCAGGCACTGGCCTGGCACCCAGGTCTGGGGTTCTTTCCTGGGCGCCTTGCCCCCCTTTTCGAGTTCCCGGCCTCTCCAGCACCTCCGGCCTGGCCTCGCCATGAGGACACTGTGGCTGCGGCACGGACAGGGGAGGTGGGCTCCCTCAGCCGCCGTCTACAGGTGGGCAAACTGAGTCCCACCAGGTCAGACCCAGCTGGGAGGCCACATCCTGTGCAACCAGCCCTGGCCAGCTGCCCGTCGCCATCGTGGCGCACGGCCTGCGATGCCCTGGCAGTGACAAAGCCCAGGTCCAGTGTGCCCCCGCAGTCCCGGCATGTCCTCCATGCGCTGACCCCTCCTACTGTCTAACAGATGATCAAACACAGTCCAGCTGCCTAGCTGTATGGCTCAGTGGTTGAGCATAGACTTTTTTTTTTTTTAATATATTTGTATTGATTTCAGAGAGAAAGGGAGAGAAACAATGATAAGAATCACTGATTGGCCCCACACGGGGGATCACACTGGGAATCTGTGCCTGCAACCCAGGCATGTGCCCTGACCGGGAATCGAACCGCGATCTCCTTGTTCATAGGTCCACACTCAGCCCACTGAGCCATGTGGCTGGGCGAGCATGGACTTTTGAACCAGAAGGTCAGGGTTCAATTCCCGGTCAGGGCACATGCCCAGGTTGTGGGTTCGATCCCCAGTAGTGGGCGTGCAGGAGGTGTCCGATCCATGATTCTCTCTCATTGATGTTTTTTACTCTTTCTCTCTCTCTGAAACCAATAAAAACGTATTTTTTAAAAAATACAGTCCCACTGAATTACAATGCCAGTCACGTAATTCAAAGTTTCCTGGTAACCAACTGCCTTAACAAAAGTCAAAAGAAATAGATGAAACCTACTTGATAGGTTTTATTTAAACCTAGCATATTCCTTTGATTATCATAACAACATGCAATCAAGACGAACTATAGGCCCCGCGTGGACTTGACACGGACGGCTCATCCCCAGCAGACCGGCCACCTGCCCAGCGCTCCCCCGGGGCGCAGGCTCCCCCGGGCGGGTTCTAGGGCTCCGGGAGGGGCGAGGCCAAAGCAGCAGCCCCGCCCCAGGCCCCGCCCCTCTGGGCCCCGCCCCCAGCCCCCGCCCCCGCGGCGATCAGAGCGGCGGAGGGACCGGACCGGGCTGAGCGGTGGCCCGGCCCCAGGCGGCCCGCGCGGCGCACTCACCTCGCCACCGCGTCCACGGAGCCGGCGATCGGCCTGCCGCCGCCCTCGCCGCTGTCGTACAGGACGCCCGAGATGTCCAGCAGCACCCCGCGCACGCCGGCCAGCCGGTCTCCCCACGCGGCCATCGCGCCGCCGCGCAACCCCGACTGCGTGTCCCAGCCCGACAGCTCGTCCCAGCCCCGGCTGCAGACTGCGGCTGCGCCGCCGCGCAGGGGCGCCTGGGAACTGTAGTTCCGCGGGGCGGGTCCCCAGGGGAAGGGGGGGCGGGCTCTGCCTTTGGCCTTGGGGGTCACGTGCTCCCAAATGGGCGTCCTCTCCGCAAACCCCGGGGTAAAAGTCCGACCATGTGGAATGCTCGCGGGAGACAGACACCTGCGGAGGCAGCCGGAGTGAGAGCCTTAGAGCCGGACCGTGGACCACACAGCCCGCATCTGCCCAGCGCGGCCCAGGCGGGGATGCTGAAGAGGATGGCGGCTGTGAGCCTCGGCGCCAGAACCAGCCGGAAGAACAGTGTGAGGGCGGGATGGTCCCAGGAGTGGTAACATGGCTGCTGAAAGAAAGACCGTGCCATCCAAAAAGGAAGAACGGGCCCTGGCTGGTGTGGCTCAGTGGATGGAGCGTTGGCCCGCAAACTGAAAGATCCCGGATTCGATTCCAGCCAAGGGCACAGGTCCAGGTCGTGGGCTCGATCCCCAGTGGGGGGTTTGCAGGAAGCAGCCGATCCATGATTCTCTCATAGATGTTTCTGTCTCTCTCCCTCTTCCTTCCTCTCTGAAATCAATGAAAACATATTGAAGCCCTAACCGGTTTGAAGGGCCCCCGGTGCGATTCCAGTCAAGGACCTTGCCTGAAACCGGTGTGGCTCAGTGGATAGAACGTCGACCTGCGGACTGAAGGGTCCCGGGTTCAATTCCGGTCAAGGGCATGTACCTTGGCTGAAACCGGTTTGGCTCAGTGGATAGAGCATCGGCCTGCAGACTGAAAGGTCCCAGGTTCAATTCCGGTCAAGGGCATGTACCTTGGTTGTGGGCACATCCCCAGTAGGGGGGGTGCAGGAGGCAGCTGATTGATGTTTCTCTCTCTCATCAATGTTTCTAACTCTCTATTTTTCTTCCTTCCTCTCTGTAAAAGAATCAATAAAATATATATATTTTAAAAATGAAGACTGGGTAGCAAGATGGGAAATGCTCACGTTACCACATTATGTGAATAAGCAGATGCCACGCGGTGCAGGCCACAGCCCTGCAGACGTCAGATGCGCGGGAACGGCCGGGAGAGAATGGGAGTGTTACGATGGTAAGCAGTGAGATTTTGGACGTCGCCCTCTCTCAGCTGCCGTCACGGGCGCATTGTTATCGGCTCGGGACACCCGCCGTGAATATCGATCCCCAGCCGGGTGCAGCCGTCACTTGCCGTGGGGCAGGCCAGGGTGGAGCCTGGGAGCCATGTGAAGGCAGCGCTCAGCGGAATGCTGATGTCCACCGGGAAAACAAACGCCTCCACGCACGGGCGGGCGGGCGGGGGGAGCTGGCCCCTCACGGATGCGTTTATTATTGAACTCCTCGGGTATAAATACAGGTATGAACGAGCCCTCACGTCCCCAACGGGGCCTCAGGCAGGTGGTCAGAAAACAGTTCCCCAAGGTTCTCTCCGCCCACCGGACTGCAGAACCCAGCGGGCTCGGGGGCGAGGGGCTTCTCTCTAGGGGGGTGAGTAAGGGGGGTTCTATTCCTCCTGTTTGTGGGAGACCCCTCGCGCTGCTTCTGGGTCCGCTGTTTCCACAGCCAAGTGCTCCGGCTGCCCCGAACACACGTGACGGAGATGCAGGCACCGTACAGGGCGAGCACCGTTTAGAACGACGGGAAGGAGTTGAGGACCCGCTGTCTAAAGCGCGTGGCCTGGGAGCGTCCCTGCCTTCGCAGCGCGGCTTCTCCCGGCTCCTCCCTGTGGCTCCACCTGTGCCCCCGCCTCCGCGGACAGTGCTTCCCACCCTGCAGACAAGTCTGAGCATTTATAGAGTGAAAGTGTCCTAACCGTCCCTGGCCCTCTGGTTGGGGGGCCCGGGGGGTGGGGAGAATGGAGGCTCCGGAAGGCCACCCGCCTTCCCGTGAAGACGGCCTCCCCGCCTCTCCCGGTGGACGTATAGGAAGAGGGACCTTGGGAAGCCGCAGAGGCCCGTTATGGAGTGACCTGAGGAGGTGGACCTCCGGCCAGCCTGAGGGCGGACCTGGCCGGAAAGATGAACGCAGGCCCTAACCAGTGTGGCTCAGTGGATGGAGCGTCAGCCTGCGGACTGAGGGGTCCCAGGTTCGATTCCGGTCAAGGGCATGTACCTTGGTCGCGGGCATGTCCCCAGTAGGGAGTGTGCAGGAGGCAGCTGATCGATGTTTCTCTCTTATTTATATTTCTGACTCTCTCTCCCTCTCCCTTCCTCCCTGTAAAAAATCAAAATATAGTAAAAAAAAAAAAAAAAAAAAAGATGAACGTGGTTGTTAAAAAGTAAAGGGGGCAGGGAGATCAGTGTGGGGCGGGAGAGAGAAAAGGAGGATGAAAGACAGTAAACAAGTGAGCACAGAGTGAGGAGAGTTGTGAAACAGAAACGAAATCCCCGCTCTGTCCCAGGGTCTGCGGCCGCCCAGGCCCCGCTGCACTGTGGGGCCCCGGGCCAGCTGTGGGGCCCCGGGCCAGCTGTGGGGCCCCGGGCCAGCTGTGGGGTCCCGGCCGGCGGGCGGCCTGTCCGGGGCTCTCACAGGTGGGCCCCTCTGGCGGGAGGCTGGCCCTTCAGTTCCGGTTTCCTTTTCACGCACGTCCATCTGGGCTTGGGGATGGCCGGCTTGCAGTCGGCAGGGCTTTCAAGTCCCCAGGGGACCCCGTGCCGCCCCTGGGAGGAGCCCGGGGTTTGAATGAGAAAGGCAACGAGGCCGCTCTCCGACCACAGGAGGGTCCGCAGCTGATGGGGTCCCCGCCCCTGCCCACCCCACCTGCTGGGACAATAGTGACTGCCCAGCCTTTGTGCCACACCCGGAAGGGGGGGGGCGGGAAGAAAGGGCCCGGGCTGGGGGCACCTCTGGGCGGGCGGAGGGGAGAAGCTCAGGGGAGTGAGAGTGAGGCCCGGGCTGGGGGGGGGGGGGTGCCACAGGGCAGGAGGGAGAGGGGCATCTCCCCTGGACAGATGTCCACTCTCCCACGGGACTCAGTGCAGCATGGGGGCCAGCTCAGAGGTCTCGGCCCCTGACCGCACACTCAGACCGGACAAACATCTCCCACCTTCATCTGCGTGGGGCTGGGACCACCTGCTCCCCAGAGGCCCAGTTCCTGTTGGAGATGACCAGGTCCAGGCTGGGGAGGCCTGCAGGCACCAGGGCTGTGCGTGATGGCTTAGCCAGCCCGGTAGCCATCCTCACCATGCTCACCGGGCCCACCGGCTCTGAACCTGGGACCTGCCACAGTCTCCGTAGCCGCGGGCCACCTTCCCGGGCCTGGGGTCTCTCTCCGCGCCCCGCCCTGAGGGGGAGGGAAGGCTTGGCCGGGCAGGGTTCTGTCCTTGGTGCCTGGCTGTCAGGAGGTGCTGGAAGGTCCTGTCCAGAAGAGGATGGGGTTTGAGTCCAGACTCTGTCACCAGCCCGCAGTGTCCCTGGGCAGCTCACTCCTCATCTCTGAGCCTCAGTGTTCTCATCTTTAGAATGGGGACATTAGCCCATCCAGGCCAGCCCACCTCCCCGGCCGCTCTGAGAACCCGGAGGACCCTGGGAGCTCGCTCCAGCCGCCCGGTTCTGTGAACTGTGAGGACGCGAGGGCCCACGTCCGGGGTGACCGGGTCTCAGGCCGTCTCCGTGCTTCCCTGGCGAGGCTGGAGGGGGCTGAGCGGGGCCGTGGTCGCTAGTCCTGCCTCCACCGCAGCCCCAACGCCGAGGCGGGCGCTTTGGGAAGAGGGCGCAAGCCAGTGTGCGTGTCCGTGGGTGCGCGCTCAGCCCTCTCCCCCACTCCTTCCCTCTCCTTCCCCCCCTCTCCCCCCTCCCTTCTCCCTCTCTCCCCTCTCCCTTCTCCCTCTCTCTCCCTCCCCCCCTCTCCGGGGTCTCTGCCGGGCGCGGAGGCGCTCTGGGAGCGCGCGAGCGGGCGCGCACCGAGGCGCCCTGGCTGGGGCTGGCGGCGGGGAGGCGCGGGCGGCAGGGGCTGCGGGCGGCGGGGGCCTCGGTCCGGCAGGTGCCAATCGGCGCGCAGCCCCCCGCTGCTCCGCGCTCCCCGCCCCCTCCCGGCGCCCCCGGCCGCCCGGCCCTCCCTCCCTCCCTCCCTCCCTCTGGCGGGAGACCGCGGAGGAGCCACGGAGAGGCGAGCCGGAGCGCGGGCATGCTGGCCGGGCAGGACGGCGGGGCCCAGGCGGCCCCCGCCCCGCACAGGACCCCCTTCTCCGTGCTGGACATCCTGGACCCGCGCAAGTTCACCCGCGCCGCGCGCCCCGCCCCGCGCCCCGCGCCCCGCGCGCCCGGGGAAAGTTTGGCGGCGGCCGGAGCGCGGGGGGAGGCGGGCTGCGGGGACCGGGCCCGCCCGCCGGAGCCGCCGGGTAAGGATGGAGGAGGCCGGGCTGGGGGGCCCCGATTAAGGATGGAGGAGGCCGGGCTTGGGGGGGCTCAGGTGGTGCGATGGAGAGGAGAGGTGTGAGCGCGTGGCGCGGGGAGGAGGAGGGGGCCCGGGACGCGGGGACGGCCAGGGAGGCGGCGCTGCGCCGGGAAGGAAGGCGCCGGAGGTGGACACGGACCCCGCGCCCGCCCGGCCCGGCCCCGTCCATCCACCAGCGTCTCCGCTCCGCCACGTGCGGGAGCTGCCGGCCGGGGTGAGAGTCAGGAAGCGGCAGCACCTCCAGACCGCTCAGGCGCATCCCCCGTTTTATGGCTGAGGAAGCTGAGGTTCTCGTTGAGGATGGGCTCAGAAAAGGGCTATCCTGGTGGCCACTGCCAACTGCCCAGACACCTGCAGACCCAGCTCATAGGGGGTGGTATGATGGGGAGCTTTTAGTCCCCCCCCCCCCCCTATTTAAGAGCGCGGAAGGGAAGGAGACAGGAACATCTTGTGAGAGAAACTTAGCGATTGGCTGCCTCCCGCATGTCAGGGCCCAGGATGGAGCCTG